ATTTGCATCATAAAATGCAAAGATGGAAAGTTAACATTTTCATTAACAAGTTGCATGTTTGTGTTTAAAGATCTTTTCATCACAGACATGATTGAATTTTTGTTGCATGTCTTTGAGTTCCGCTATTTTACTGAACTTAGGTTCAGCCAAAGTAAAAAGGCATGTGAAAGGTTAAGATTGGCACAGCTGCACTAGTAGTTTGGCACACGTGATCTGCTGTGCACAAAAAACACTTTTCACATGCGCAGGTGTCTAAGTCTGGATGCAAATTTTCAGGGTCAGAAATGTGCTGATGGTTTATGTCTTACCCAAGGTGTTTTTGTTTTTTCTTTTGATAGTATCAGTACGACAGAAAGCCTGCAGTAGTTGCACGTGTGTATTTTTGTGATTAAAAAACCCATCTGCAGTGTCAGATGTTAAGAGGGAGCACAAATACACCTCAGCTTCCTTTAACTTGTGCTGGTAACATGTAGTATTTCATGAACATTAGGGCTGTGCTAATATGAGGCTTGATTTAGAACTGGAAAATCCTTTTTTCATTCTTAAAGATTGGTTCATATAAGCAAAGTTTGATTTATGAAAAGTCCACAGCTAATTAACTGTTTATTAGAGGTCTTATACTATGCCACATTTGAAAATATAAAATATTAATGAGGTCCTCGGAGTCTGTTTTTGTCATTTGTACAGTAACTCGCTGCTTCTGTCGCGCCAGCTGCGTCCAGTGTGAACGCAGCATTAGTCATTCGTTGCGTTCGCCTGTCTGCTAAGCTCAAAACAACCGCGCCTGGCTTGACGGAGAAACCAGGAGAACAGCTGTGCATATTTACGACAGTGCACTTTTACTTTCGCCCTCTGGGGGGAGCCTCACTGGAAAATCAACACCAGTTGCATAGTGTACCTTTAATGCTTGATCACATCTGAAGCGGGTGGTTATCATTGTTGTGTTTCCTGTTGATTTATAATAAACCATTTACTGTAGTTTAGTGTAATAATTATAAAATGACTTGAGTTTTACTTTTATATAGATAAAAGCTGTTTGTTTTTTTGTCATTGTTTTTTTTTTCTGATACTGAGAGAAACTGTATAGGAAAACAAATGTGCCTTTCCAAAAATCTCACTCCAACTCCTGCTGTTAGTCGCTCAGTCCTGACAGTTTTCTTATAATCCCTTTTCAATCCCCTTTCAACAGGCCTGCAGTATGGATATGTTCCTCATAGTGGAGCTAGCTCAGCTTCTGCCACTACTTCAGGCACAACAGCAGCGCCCCCCTCGTCATCCGGCACTGATGATGATGATGATGATGATGAGGAGGAGGATGAGGAAGCAGGTCTGCTTTCGCTTTTACCTCAAACTTTACCCCCTATGTTTTGGCTTTCTTCATCCCCATTAACTCATCAACCACCTTTAAGCATGTCTCTAAATGTCACCTGTCCTGTACGAAGTTCTATTCTCAATCTTTTTTCATGATCTATCAGTCCACTGCATTTCACATTGTCAAAATCTGCTGTTTAATTTCTTAGCTGTAATGCTGGTGAACAATCTCGGTCATCTAGGTCATTACGAAAAAGTAAAAACAAAATCCACTGGACTTTGTTTCCAAGTTTGAAGACGTTTTGTTTAAAAGCATGGAAGGAGATGGAAACCTCAACATTGAAGTGTATATGAAATCCACTCACACAGACCAATATCTTCTTTTTGACTCACACCAACCACTGGGACACAAACTTTCTGTCATTAGAACCTTACAACACCAGGCCAAGCATGTCTCTACAAAAACAGAAGGCAAGCACAAAGAACAGAAACACGTTAAAGATACTCAAAGGTATTCTGCAAAACTATGGATATCAGCAAGAAAATCCAAAAGATGCAGCAGAACATAAGGGTGAGAAAATTAAATGCAAAAACATCGCCATACCATACGTCTCTGAAAAACTCGAGGATTTTCTCCAAACACAAAATCCCAGTACATTTCAAACCGAGCAAGACCCTTAAACAGAGCCTAGTGCATCCCAAAGACAAAACCCCCACACCAAATAAGAGCGGAGTGGTGTATGCTGTTCAGTGCAGTGAGGAATGCTCTGATCTTTATATTGGAGAAATCAAACAACCTCTCCCCAGACACATGGCCCAACGCAGGAGAGCGCCCTCCTCCCGACAAGACGCGGCGGTACATCTACACCTTATGGGCAAATGGCATTCTTTTGAGGACCAGAATGTGCACATTTTGGACGAAGAAGATGGGTGGTTTGAAAGGGGTGTGAAGGAAACCATTTATGTTAAGATAGAAAAACCAACCTTAAACAGAGGGGGTGGACTCCAAAGTTCTCTCTTGTATCAAGAAGTTCTTTGCATTGGTGTCAGGTGTTGACTTACAGGCCCTAAAAGTTCAAAACAAAGAAGGGTCTGTTCCAAACACATGACGTTTTAGCTCAGACTGGGTCTCCGGTATGGTGTCGAGCTGCTGTAAAAGAGCGAACGGCGGGCCTCCTCTTGTTTATCACCTATGGTGTGATGTCAGAGCTGTAGAGCGTTCCATGAGCCGTACATACAGTTTGATTATGGCTATTTCAGTATACGATTTTTTTCTTTTTTAAAGACTGATTCATATAAAATCTCTTAGCATTACTAAAAGGTTTTTAAAGAAAAAAATGTGCAAAGTAGAAAGGTGCCTGTTGGCCTGGGGTTATTTGTTGTTTATTCTAAAAGCTAATTTTGTTTGTTCAGTAGCAGTTTGACTTAATTCTATTTTTCCCATTTATTTTCTATTCTCATTGACATATCAGTATCTATTTAATTTGGAAAGTCTACACCAACCATTAGGTCCATATATTGGTTCAAAGACACAGTTGTTTTTTTTTTTTTTCGTTCTCTACCCCCCACCATGCATGCATGTCAAGGAGCTATCCGTGTGCTTAATCAGTCTCATCCTCTCTGCCAGTAACGATCCCTCTGGAGCTTTGTCATCAGGCAGAGGTTAACATGGGTCTAAATATAGCCTCCCCAGGTCCAGGCTCTCTGTGCTTGTTTGCTGACTGCCCTGTTAGTCAGTAGAGGATCTCCTTAACACTTCTACCAGCATGTAATCTAGTAAAAAGCAGGGCCTGTTTCAGCTCTCCCTTTGTGCCTTCCCATGTGATCTCATCAGGTTCCCTAGGGCCAGCTCAGACTCTCATATTGAGTGTTTATGAAAAACATCAGCTGATAATTCCTCTAAAATAGGCTTGTCATATTCAGCCTCATAATGACAAGTTATGTCTCAATGTACTATTTTCACATGATCATAATTATATAATATTGTGTTCATTTGGCTAAAGTGGATATTCTCAGTCCCAGAAAATATTGAGATTAAAAATCAGAGAGAAGATGATCATAGTTTTTTATTTTTAGGGGACAAAGCGAACTTATATAAGGGATAAAGCTGGCATAGAGGTGTAGGCAAAAAAGAAGAGATGTAACAAGTGTCTTGGTGAACAAGGCGATGAATCTGTAGCTGGAGCTTTCTGGAGCTCCTAATCCAGCCGCCTGCTGCTCAGATTTACTGCTAGATAATTGGATGGTGTTCTGTCCAATGAGCTCTCAGCCTGAGGCCTGCTGAGTGTTGGTTTGCTGTTGATCTCTCCCTTTGACCCACATGGATTAATAGCTTCATTCAAATATTCTGCCCTCTTTAATCCTTATGGAAATGTTGCTCAAAGTTTGACATGCGTTTTTTTTATTTTGGGCAGGGGGGAAAGAGAAGGGTACTGTGTTCTTTTTGCACTTAGTTAAATTACATTTCAGGATTATTTCATTTAGAAATGGGAGACTAGAGAGGGACCGGTTATGGTCTTTTGCAAGCAAAGGGGAGTCCCTTTTCTGAGCGACAATTTACCTGTTGAACAATATGAAATCATTGAAAAACTTTTAATTTCTCTTTTACTCTTGTCTTTTCATCAGCTTGACATTTTTAAACTCATAAACTTCCCTTTATTTACTAGATGTGTTCTGATTCACATCTAGTAGCCCATTGGTCACATGACACAAGATGAAAATCCAAGATTTGGTTGTCTAAAACAATAATGTGCACATTCTAAAATACTGCTTTTTATGTTAGATATTCAAAACTCTTAGGTAAACCAACACATTGACAAAAAAAAATCATGTGCAAATCTGAAATAAAGTGCATTGAGGCAACTTAGTGAACCACTTGCATACAAATTACTCATCATAGTACCTGCCTAGTCCCCATTAAGTTTGTATATTTGCAAACAGAAGACCTGCAAACATTTAAAATTGTTTGTTTAGAGCTGATTATATAAAAAATACCACATATCAGAGATCAGATTAAAGCTTCAACATTACTTTATACAGTTTCTACCTGACCAGAATCTCTCTGGCTGTGTCACAGACTGCCTGCTCTACAAGAAAGATGATCTAGTCCTCAACACAACCTTCATTAATGTAGTTGAGATGATTATGTTAAAGGTGAGAGCTACAAATGTAACTCTTCCAGGACAGCAGGTGGCTCACTGGGCTCACCTGCTGTCATTGCATCTTTAATAGTGCTATCTATACCAGCCAGTTGTTAGGTCCATCAATGCTAATGCTAATCCTTCAGGATTTAAATAAAGCCTTTCATTTTTGCTTAAATGAGCACTGTAATGTTATATGCCTGGAGAAGAAGGATCTGGGTATGGCTGGCCTAGCGGTTAGAGCAGTGTGCTTATGCCCTGAGAAGGTTCCAAGTACCTGGTTCGATCCCCAAAGCCTCCACTCTCAGTTCCTGAGCAAAACCATTAACCCCTGATTGCTCACCGAGCGTCACAGAATGACAGCCCACTGCTCCTTAATGGGATGGTTCAAAATGCAGAGAGTGAGTTTCCCCGGGACAATAAAAGGATTTGCATTACAAAAGTCATTTGATAATAAAGTGATATACATTTAAATTTTATACAGCTTTAGCTCCTGCCTGAGTGAACACCACCCCTCACACTGTATTCCCAGCCTATTACAGTCTTATCCCTCTTGCATTTCTTTTTTTTTTTTTTTTGCCTTTTAACACATCATGGACTTAACTCATTATTTTCAGAGCTCCCCTGGGATTTCCACACTCCTCTCCTCTACTGCTCCGACTTGCTTACCAATTGTGCACACAATCTTATACCTTCTGTCACCTTATGTAGTCTTGGTGAACATCCAAAGAAGGACTTTATTTAATAACAGACATGGAGCAAAAGCAAACACAAACAAAAACATCAGCTGATAATTCCTCTAAAATAGGCTTGTCATATTCAGCCTCATAATGACAAGTTAAAAACACTAAAACACAAAAATAACAAAACTTCAGTAGGAACAGAGGTATACATTTCAAGTCACATAATGTAATCATACCCTTTAAAACAGCTCCTCAGTCTCCTTCTCACTCTTTGCCTTAATCCCAGAATCTTACAGGTCTAACAAATATCTGCATTTTTTTTCTTAGCTTTTGTTTTCTTTATTTTTCTTTTATCTTCATCCTGCTTCTGTCATTTACATGTCTTTAATATTTTCTTAGGATTTGTTTATCTTTTTATTCATTGTATTGCTTCAGTCTGTCCTCAGTTTGCATCAGACTGCTCTAAGTATTTATCTCATTATTGAAATCCTTCTCTTGTTTTCGTGTCTCAGGCGGTGACACTTCCTCCTCCAGTACTGGCAGCGCGTCTCCAGTTCCCAACAACTATGATTCCCTCGAAGGAGGCAGCTATCCAGGTACTTCCTCATCACAGATACACTATTAAGAAGAAAAGTAAGTTAGCTCTGACGCTGTGACAGAAATCAAGGAAGAAAGCAATGGAGGGCAACAGATAGGGAAACCATGGTGGAGTCAGTGTGTTTTATTGTTTAGCTCTATTTTAGATGTTGAGTTGTTGTAAAGAAGGACAACATTAAACAGCCCACCTTTCCAAACTGGAGAGCATAGTTTAATTTTAATGTTAAAACACTTAAGATTTGCTCTTCTTCTTAAAATCTGATCTTACATGGTTACTGAAATGTGTTTTGCACAGATTCTATGCCACCTTCCAACAACATGACCAACCAGGCTCCGCCCTTTGGTAGCTATAGTTACCAAAGCATGCAGTCGGCCTATCAGCACGGACCGGTCGCCCACCCTGACGCCTCGCCCTCACACGGCGCTTACAGTCAGCCGGGTTACCAGCAGTACTCCCAGGTAAGACGATAGTGTTGGCTGCTCATGTGACATTTTTACAAACAGTGCTGCACAGACAGAAACTGTTTCTGAAGATGATTTCTTCTTCTACAGCCTTTCCCCAACCTCTCTCAGCTCTCTGCGGCTTTGGGTGGGTTGAGTGGAGTCCCAGAGCTGGAGGTGGAGGCCCTGAGGCCGATCAACCTCCTGCAGGAGAGAAACCTGCTACCTTCAAGGCCCTTAGAGGCCCCTGAACCCAACCTCAGCCCTGACCTAAAGAAGGTCAACTGCAGTCCCCAGTAAGTTTGTCACACTTTATCATTCAACACCTTCTAATGACTTATTTTATTATCTCTATTAGAGGTAGACCAACACATTAAGCCCAGTTATTTTTTTCTTGTATCGGCCTCCGCCAGTGAGAGCATGCATTCCCCGATCAGAGCATTCAGTACCTTAGGCTTCCCTCCTGTTGCCTATTCATCATTAATTTGCTGGATTTGTTCATTTAAATTAAGACATGTATCATTAGTGCATAATTTTTATTATATTTAGGTCAAAATAATCTACATTAACCCTATAAAACCCGCACACGTTGTTCTATAGTCTTTCCTGATTGTTGTCTGCTTACCAGGACGTTCCGGTGCACCCTGACCAGCATTCCTCAGACCCAGGCGTTACTCAACAAGGCCCGGCTGCCATTAGGCCTCCTCCTTCACCCCTTCAGAGATCTGCAGGTATGTTCAGGAAATAAACAAATGTTTTCTCTGAGATACAACTTTTATTCCTTTAGAGTACTTGTGCTTTAAAATAAAAAAAAGGGTTGGAGAATTTCACTTACCTTTGATCTGATGAAAAGGCAAAATGTTTTAAGTAAAATACTCCTTTTTCAGTTTTTAGTAGGAGGGAATTGTCTAATCGTCTGTCTAAAACAGAACATGATGTAGCTTAATGCTAACACCATCTAGCAAAACTGATTAACAGGCTTTTGCTGAACTGCAATCATCAGAATCAGAGAAACCTCTAAAACCTGCAGGACAGCGGCCCTCGAGGACCGACTTTGGGGATGCCTGATCTACAGCGTTGATTTCTGAAGTTGGGGTCCTTGATAAACTAGTATGGGGTCATGAGATCCACCATAGAAATTAAACTAAACAATAAACATTTATGTTAAAGTGCTGAAGGATATTATAGCACCACTACTTTGGTTGTTGATGCTGTTTTTAATATTATTACATCCCAGGGATAATTTAATTGAAATATTTTTTTATAATATTTGTATAATTAACCAGTAGCTTAGGCCTTAGGGCTGGGTCATATGACTTCAATTTCGTCAGATATATCAGATTTAACTGGTTCTGCATGTTTTTTCGCGGAACTGCTTCCAATTGATCGTATAGCCATTTGTTCGGAAAAAGAAGTTCAGGTGGAGAAAAAGCTAGAGAATGGGAAAATGCAAATTCCAACAAAAGTGGCTGGAAAATAAGGAATTTGGACCATGGCTGCAGCCTGTCGATGGTAAAGATGACAAAGGATTTTGCCTTGTTTTATATATATATATATATATATATATATATATATGTATATATATATATATATATATATATATATATATATATATATATATATATATATGTATATGTATATGTGGGAGTCATGGGTACTTGTTGATGGCATTAAAATTATTTCTAAGAGCTTTAAAAAGCATTAAATTAGAGTTGCTCATTCCTGTATAAATCCTGCTTTAGTCATAGGGTGAGATTTATTTAACCTTTTCCCATCTCCTCCCTGCAGCAGTTACCAGTGATCACATCCAACACGATAGTGCGCTGTCGTACATGCCGGACCTACATTAACCCCTTTGTGACCTTCCTGGACCAACGCAGGTGGAAGTGTAACCTCTGCTATCGGGTCAACGATGGTAGGAAACTGAAGAACTGTTTCCTTTATCCTTTCAGTTGTTGTGTTTTGTTCATCTGAGACTTTTCTGTTTGAACGCTCTGCACAGTGCCCGATGAGTTTATGTACAACCCGGTGACGAGGTCATATGGGGAACCACACAAGAGGCCAGAGGTCCAAAACTCAACAGTGGAGTTCATCGCTTCCTCAGACTACATGGTAAGTCCCTCTCTGTCGTTGCAATGTGATTATTTGTCCTCCAGAGGGAGGTGTTGTATTTTGGTTGTGCTGCAGCATATTTTGAAACATTAATAGATTCTGAAATGCAGAAGGATTCACACATTTGAGGTGACTGCTAACTTTGATTTTCTATCCCTGGTTGTCAGCTGCGACCTCCACAGCCGGCGGTCTATCTGTTTGTGCTCGACGTGTCCCACAATGCCGTGGAGGCAGGATACCTGAAGTACTTCTGTGAATCACTTCTGAACAACTTGGATAAGTGAGTTCAGATTTGTAGCATCCGGATCTGTGCTGCTTTTGCTATTTAAATAGCTTTAAATGGGGGGGGGGGGAGAATTGTTAATATCTGCCAATTTAAAATTTCACATGCCACCTCGTATGTCCTGCATGATTGTAATGCAAAACTATATGACATAAATATTGCATCATCAACACTTGAATTTTCCACATTTTATTCCACATTTATTGAGTTACAACTTAAATAAGCCAAACATTAACTCTTTGATCTTATCTAAATGAATATCTTGCGTGTTGACATATATTTACTACAGATTGGCAGCTACTGAGCCGAGAGTTGGAAAACACTAAAAAACACTGGAGCCGTTTATAAATGAGATCTTGATAACTAAGCAGATATTTGTGTAATTTAAAGGAATAGTACACCCAAAACATGATTAGCCTTCATTTTCTACTCACCCCCATGCTGAACAACACTCTGGAGTACTTTTTTGATATCTCAAATGCATCTGGAGATCTGGGAGGCTTCTTGCTGTCTGCTGACATTCAAATAATGGAGGTCTATGGTGCCCGAGACAGAAAGGTCCATAAAAGTCCACAAAAAACGTGTCAATATTCCTCCATACTGCTCGTCCAATGTATTCCAAGTGTCCTGAGTGGGTAGCATCCAGAATTTACTCGAAACTAAGTCATTTAGAATGTTTTTAGAGCATAAACAGTAGTGTATAGGATTTCTTAAAAGCGCGTTCACGAGTCTACGGAAACCGCGGCAGACCAAACCAGATGAAAGTGCGCATTCAGCGTCTGCTCTGCCGATAATGCAAGCGTAGAAGAAGAAATGTGCTGTTTACCTGTGCAAAGAAAGAAACAACGAAAGAAAAAGGTCTGAGGACTTCAGTGTTGAGGAAGAGCATGAGTTCTTTGCCGAGCTGAATGCGCACTTTCATCTGGTTTGGTCTGCCGCGGTTTCCGTAGACTCGTGAACGGGCTTTTAGGAAATCCTATACACTACTGTTTATGCTCTAAAAACATTCTAAATGACTTTGTTTCGAGTAAATTATGGACGCTACCCACTCAGGACACTTGGAATACATTGGACGAGCAGTATGGAGGAATATTGACACGTTTTTTGTGGACTTTTATGGACCTTTCTGCCTCGGGCGCCATAGACCCTCCATTATTTGAATGTCAGCAGACAGCAAGAAGCCTCCCAGATCTCCAGATGCATTTGAGATATCAAAAAAGTACTCCAGAGTGTTGTTCAGCATGGGGGTGAGTAGAAAATGAAGGCTAATCATGTTTTGGGTGTACTATTCCTTTAAGCTGCATTCTCATGTAAAGGTCTTCAAAGTTCCTTTTGGGTCACAGAAAGCAGAATATATCGATTTGAATCCCAATTTTTGTCATCTGCCATCACTGCCCCAGCTCCACCAAGCCCCTTTGACCCACAAAGAATGATGGGATAGAATTGGCCACTGAGGATACACCAGACGCACTCACCAAATCAGGAAAAGAGCCGTGTTTAATGATGTTGAATCTGGACCGCCTGCATCACACCGTGGTGACGTAATCGTCCACCAAAAGACACTGCCCCTAATTGGACACACCGACTAGGTTATGTGAAGAGACAAACGTTGACCTTTTGGGATAGCATACTGTGATGTAACTAAACAATCGTCCAGTGTTTCTGTTTTAAAGCAGCTCCATAAAAACTTGTAAACTAAATTTCTTCTATAGGTGTATAAAAGTACCTTTTAAGAATGATTAAAGGAGGTTATTTACATACACCTGGTTGGTTTGGACAGCTGTGTTGATCCTTGTTATTTTTGTTTGATAATGAAAGACTTAAAATATTTATACATTCTTACTCTAAAATTACCTCCAAGGTGCTTTGTTGTGTGGTGTCCGCTGGAAGTTTTGTTGTTGATGTTTCCATCTAAGCTTTCAATAATGGATACCATATTATGTTTCAGGTTACCTGGAGATGCACGTACTAGAGTTGGTTTCCTCACCTTTGACACCACCATCCACTTTTACAACCTCCAGGAGGGACTGTCCCAGCCACAGATGCTGGTGGTGTCGGACATTGACGGTACGTCTCTTCATTGCCATAAAGAAAGACTAGGTTTAAAAGATTGGCCGTTTGCTTTTCAACTCTTATTACTGATTGCTATTCTTTCTAAAAGCAGATGATAATTTTTTGTGTACATGAAATATTGGGGAATTTATTTGAAATATAGCTTTTTTTGCATTTATTATGTACAAACTGGAGCGAATGTTAAGTCAAAAATCATTTATCTTAAGGTTGTTTGTTAATCATACTGCAAAATTAATTTAAAAATACAGATGTTTATTATCAAAGACATCAAATGCACAATTTAATACGTAAAAATGTTATTGGATAATTAAGTACATATTTAGTAATTTAATTGAAATTTAGAAAGCTAATAGAGGATGAAAATTGTAATCATAAATTACACTTAATGAGATTTTTTATTTTATTTGTCAGTTTGATTTTAAATCCATGTTGAAATACTGAAAATATGTTAAAATATTTTTAAATGCTAAAGTGGCTAACACTGCTTCAAACAAGGTGATTGGTCTGAGGTTGGGTTGTTGTGAGGGGCTCAAATATCAAATATTAGTGTTTTCAATAATATGACTGTAGCCCAAAAAACATGGAAGAGTTAAATATTGAGACAGCTTTTATTTTCAACCCAAAAAAAACACAAAACAATATACTTGTAAATTATTTGGTTTTAAATATTTATTGCATTTTGATCTAAATGACCTATTTCATATACATTTATTTAATACATGGATTTTTTTATACATAGTTTATATTATAATTTTAAAGCCAGTATTTTGTGCTGTTATCCCATCTCTTTAAGTTTATTTTAGATGTTTTTATTTTAATGATCAGAATGACCTCTTTTTATGGAATTGAAATTTTATCACGTTGGGGGGTTGGGGGGGTGGAGAGAGCTGAATTATTACAAATTTGATTCTCCTGGAAAAGAGCAGTGAACGATTTATAAACTGAATCGTTTTTGTGAGGAGTTATATAAAAAGCTCTTTTTAAAACGTCACTGTCTTTTTCAGATGTTTTTATACCGTCACATGACAGCCTGATGGTGAACCTAAAGGAGAGCAATGAGGTAGTTCTCTTCCTTCTTCATCCATGTTATAAACACACCTTTGTCTCTTCTCATGACCACAGCCAACTGTTTCCATCCTCAGTCTCTTTTATTGCATGAAGAGTTGATAGAACATAGTGAACCTCAAAAATAGAAGCACCAGATTCCCCCCCATGTGTGAGGATCTAAGAATTGGTTTTCCTTCCTCAGCTTGTGAAGGAGCTTTTGACGTCGCTGCCGGCCATGTTCAACCAGAGCAGAGAGACTCACAGTGCCCTTGGCCCTGCCTTACAGGCAGCCTTCAAGCTGATGTCGCCCACAGGGGGTCGCGTCACGGTATTCCAGACTCAGCTTCCAACTCTGGGAGCAGGAAAGTTGCAGTCCAGAGAAGACCCGAACCAGCGTTCCAGCACCAAGGTTCACAGTACTGATTTGTTGATTTATTTGTAGTAGAGTTTGGATCCAGTCCGTTTTGCTTCAAGTCATTTTTTTTATAGAATCTTCCAATTAGGGCTGCAACAACGAATCGATAAAATCGATAAAAATCGACTTTTAAAAGCGTTGGCAACGAATTTCATCATCGATTAGTTGTGTCGCGCGATTATTGCGTCATCCGCCGCGCCGTCATCACTGCCTCTTGACTGAAAGAAGAAAAAAAATATGGCAGAGCGAGTCAGCGCCGCAGTTGCAGTGTTGCCAACTCAGCGACTTTTCAGACCCCTCCAGCGACTATTTTTCAAAAAAGCGACTAGCGACAAATCTGGCGACTTTTTTCGGTGTCACTGGCGGCTTTTGGAGACTCTTACGTGAAAGCATGTATCGTTCCTACTCTGCCGTGGGGAGCCTCCCCCACATCAACCGCGTTCTCCCGCAGGAGTCCCTCTCAGCGCTGCAGTCAAAGCCTCAGCGTCCAGACTGCAAATGAAGCGCGCATGCACCGGGATTGACGGCGCAAATTGATCACAATAATTAAAATAGCCTGCGCTTTGTAAAGCGAAAAAAGTGATAACTTGCAACTTTTTTCAAAACAAATTAACATGGCACGGAACCACCATGTTTGTTTGGTTTTAAAGTGGGGAAACGTAACGTTAGTTTCTCAGGTAGCTCATCTGATTCTTTCCTTACCTTGTTAGTAGGTTACAGACAGTGATAAGGTTGGCTACTTATTTTACTTTTAATTTCATTTGAATTAGCTTAAGCAGCGTTTACATTTACTTTATAAATAAATTAACTTGCAAATTATGAGGGCAAGGCTTTTAAAGTTTAAATCTTCTGGCAAAGATAAAGTAAAGAAGATCCTGCAATTTATGGAAGTAAAGCAGAATAAAATCCAGCAAGATCAGTAATATGTCAATTAATTATATGCCACATTCCCATGTAAATATCTGTCTTTGGAGGATGTGTTTTTTAACACCCCTAGTTCTCTCATTTTTATTCCAAATACAATTTATAATTTGAATCACAGGGCTATTTTTATCTCTATGGTTCAGTATTTTCTCAAGTAGCAACTTTAACTGCTATACTTTCCTGTATTAAAAGGCAGAACTCTTCTAGTCTATAAAAACCTCATTTGTTGAAATGGGGGGGCCTATTGTTTGAACCCCTTAGGGGCTTTTAAAAACAAAAATGTCTTTTTTTGCGCTTTATGAAACAAAGTACCCTATATTTTGTGGATGTACAGCTACATTTCTCATGTAAGTTTGCGTAGTTTTAACACAAACATTTATTTTTCATATTGCACCAGTACAGTTAATGAGCAACCTGTACTTGTGTGCTTGTTTGTTCTGTCTAAAATGTTTATTTTGGAATAAAGAGGTTAATATAAAAAATATTTTTTGTCTGATTCATCGATTAATCGAAAAAATAATCGTCCGATTCATCGATTTTTAAAATAATCGTTAGTTGCAGCCCTACTTCCAATTAATTAACAGCTCTGTCCTCACCTATTTTAGCAAATTATTGTTTGTTTTAAATGGAACCTCATGACCTCCTACTTTCTGACCCAATAACTCTTCAGGGAGTGCAGCACCTCAGTCCTGCCACTGATTTTTATAAAAAACTTGCACTGGACTGTTCGGGACAGCAGATTGGAGTGGATCTTTTCCTGCTCAGCTCCCAGTACGCTGACCTTTCATCATTAGGTAAGAATATCATTTCTGCCCATCCTTCCATCTCTCATCATCTTACAGCCTCAGATCATGTTTTAGTTTTTTACCTTCTAGGGAAACACTAGTCACCATGATTCATTTCTGCTCTTATTTAGACTTGATTTATCATTGAAATTACACATATGGGACAATATTATGATGATAAATGGCTCCAAAAATGTCTAAATCATTAGAATATTGATATATTTTTTCTTTTCTAAAAGAACACACATCTCAAAATTGAGGCCTGTGGACCGAATCTGACTCTTTACAGCAATCTAGCCCTCATTACAAGATAGGCCTTTGTTGCCAAGCACATTATGTCATAGAAGCAAAGCAGAGGCAAAATGTTCTTTAATTTGAACAAAGGGGCTACAAGCTGGCAGTAAATTTATAATAGAGGAGCGTTCACAGTATACTCTTTGTTAATGAAATGATGACTCGAGCCAATATAGAAATGAGTTTGATGCACTTGAAATAAAGCACTAACGATTGGAAATATTATAATTCAATGGAGAAACTGCAAGCAGTTTAGTGATTAAAAAAAAAAAAAACACTTCTTCATGCAACAGGTGTCCTTAAACATATTTTAAATAGGTATTTATGTTGAGAGCTGAATTTGTGAATGCTTTGCTTTGATTGCAATCACATTTATTGTGACCAAAATAGTTCCATAAAATACCTCGGTAAGACTTTAAGCCCATATCACCCGTCTGTACTCCAGTCAGTAGCACTTAGCAGAACATGTTTAAAAAGGCAGCTTTATGAAACTTCTGGGTTCCATTTCATCTGTAGAACCAAGTTTGCTGATTTTGAACTTTGGAATCTAAAGATTTGTTCCTCCAGATTTGTTGAAGCTAACCAGCTAGTTTTCTTTTTGTTCTTGATGGATTTTCCTAGCATGACACCTCAATTGAGAATGTCTGGTGACCTAATGCCATGTTGGAAACTAACCCAAGAAATTATTGTAAAAAAAAGCAGGAAAGGCTCCAGCTTCCAGACGTGCTGATTTTTATGCTACGTTCACACCTAAAGCAGCACAGGCAGCAAAAAGGCACACACTGATCAATTTTTTATGCTTGTACTAGTTTTGTTCTGACGGACGCTGAAGCAGCAAAGCTGCTCTTGCTGCGCAGTCGAAAAGTGGGTCTGATGCGCGTTGGGTGGAGCTACTCTATCCTTTCTTTGCCTGTAACAATGGCGGCTATATTTGCTGTGATGAGTGGGTAAAAAGTAGTTTGAATCTATTTTAAAGCAAGAAAATCCACCTGAAAACATCGTTAGTGCAGTCAGTTCACCCAGATTACCATCCTGACTTCAAATTTTATTTCTCTGTCGGAGCCGCTCAGACACCAGATACTAGATTGTGCGCTGTCAGTAGGAATCCCATTCAACAGCAGCCTCTGGCCTGGTTGCGTCTTCGCGGTTTGCCACAGCGGCTGGAAAGCTGTTTTCATGTACATAATCCAAACTGCAGGCACCAGGATAATAAAAGCCGGCAGATTTTGGTATTTTAAGTTAATTTGAGAGCGTTAAACAGTTTTAAAGTAGAGAACATAGCGCTCTGCATCATCAGCGGTGTGTCTGTCTCCCTGCCAGCTCCCAGATCAGCTTCTCTGATTGGTTGATGTGGCGCATTCGGCAGCAAAAGTTAATTTTTCCAAACCAGCAGCTGCTGCTTTCGCAGCGCGTCCTGTGCTTCAGATGCTCTGAAGCTTGTGAGGCGCTGCTTCAGCTGCTCAAAACATGCTGCGGGACCCTTTGCTGCGCCCTGATGTGCGTCAACCATTGACTTTGCATATAAGCTAGCTGCTTCTGCTGCTTTAGGTGTGAACGTAGCATTAGGCTCTGAATTGTTTTGGGTTGGATGTTTAAATCATTTTGGTGTCGTATTTTTTTTCAGCTTGTATCTCCAAGTATTCAGCCGGCAGCGTTTTTTACTACCCTTCCTTTCACCACATCCACAACCCGGCGCAGCTGGAGAAGTTTCAGAAGGACCTCGATCGTTACCTAACTAGAAAGATCGGCTTTGAGGCAGTTATGAGAATACGATGCACTAAAGGTACGTCTGTTCAGTTTTTACTTTTTCACGCAAAAACCTTATTTTTTTTTTATCCGTGTTGATTTTTAAGCCTAAATAATGTGCTTTCAGGTTTATCCATCCACACATTCCACGGTAACTTCTTTGTGCGCTCCACCGACCTGCTGTCCCTGGCTAATGTGAACCCAGACTCTGCCTTCGCCGTCCAGATGTCGATCGAAGACTCTCTTGCGGACTCGTCTCTTGCCTGTTTCCAGGCTGCTCTGCTCTACACGTCCAGTAAAGGTGAAACCAAAACCCACTTCACTTCTAGAAACACGGGGTTCCATTTCCAACTCAAGTAAAAATGGCTCAGTTTTTATCTGTTCAACTGTTTATTTTTGGTCTGATGTAGGAAAGAGGCGTATCAGAGTTCACACTCTGTGTCTGCCCGTCGTCAGTCAGCTGAGCGATGTTTATGCCGGAGCTGATGTTCAAGCTATCACATGTCTGCTGGCCAACATGGGTGAGTTTGAAGCATAAACTCTCCACTTTCAGTCCCTCGCTGTTTCACTGGAGGTAATGTTGCACATTTTTTCCACCCCATAATAGGTGAGATATGACATCTAGTTTCTAAAGATTCAGGAGATATTTCAATTACAGCTGTTGCTCTTGTTTTTATTCCCACTAATAAAACCCTGCTCTCCTCTTATTGATCGTCTCTTTGTGTTCCAGCTATCGACCGGTCGATCTCATCCAGCCTGTCAGATGCTCGTGACGCTCTTGTGAACGCTGTCATGGACTTTGTGAGCGCCTACAAAAGCAGCGTATCGAACCTGCAGCAGTCTGGAGTTGTTATTCCTGCGGCTATGCGTCTTTTTCCGCTCTACATTCTGGCCCTACTCAAACAGGTTGGACCAATATGAAAATACACCTCGCATTCTCAAAGCGCAGGGTTCCTGCTCACTGTGGCGTCAAAGTCTGATAATACGTGGGAAAAAAAGATGTAATCCAAACTACTCAAATGTTTCCTTTTGTTTAGATGTTATGCTTTTAATTTTCTAAAAACAAGCTGCTCTAATCACACCTCTTAATTTCTCCATTGATCTATTGATTTTATCTATCCTAGTAGAGATCCCATCTATGGATCCATTTTCATCGGTAAAAAAAATAACAAACTGACCTTTTTCAGGACAAGCTTAGTTTAAACTAACTCATTTGATCAAAATGTTATATTTTTTTGGCACTGGATTCCCAGTCAGCAGCTTCCCAGCATTTAACTAACTCCTCTCATCATGTGCACATCACCGCAGTTTGATGCACTTCAGTCTGGCCTCCTTTCCTTTGTAGAATTGATTTATTCTTTGAAACACATCTTAGCAGCCTTCTCTTTTCTATTTATTCTTAACTTGTGTTTCTTTCATTGGAGGTTTAAAGACTGGGGTGATTAGGGCCTTTTCTGCAAGAGCTCTGTACTGCAAAGGCAGGGCGCCACAATTTTTACAATCAGTGCCGAAAGTATGGGAATTTAATAAAATTATATTAAATCCATTAGGTTTTTCATCCACCCATGTTAGGATTTCGGTTATCCTTTGAAGGGGTAAACCAAATCTGATGGTATTAAATTAGGATTAGGTATTACAGGTCATAGCTAAAACTGTTTTTTATCAAAAGAAATCATCTTGCTGCTATCCTATTTAAGTCGATGGCCTTTAAGTTTTTGTTTTTTTGTGAGTTTGTGTTTATACTAGTTTATGTTACCTATTTAGAGCCATCTTTGGTTTCCTTTCTAACCTTCTGAGGACCAACAGACCTTGTGTGGACCAAACGTTGGACTTAATGTGACAGAACCCCATTTTTTATGTTGGGGAGTCTGTTTAGAGGTATGGTGTGAATCAAGTGGTTAGGATTGGGCTGAATGTCGGGGTTATGCATAATGCAGTAACTAAGATGAATGTAAGTCCATGTAGTCTTAATATGGATCGAAATATGAACCTCAGCAGTCAGTGGTCATTTAAGTCATAAAGCTTGAAATTAGAATATAAATGAAAAACTGGAATCGCCTGAAGCTTTAACTTAAAAAAAATTTGGTTTATTTCATCAACTCTTTATTGTCCACTGACCATTGTTATGTAATGTAACAGTGGTGATAACCTGCAGTGCGCCTTGAAGCCAACTTCCTTTGGATGTTATTTTTATTTATATGTTTTTTAAAAGGCTTATTTATGCTTAAAATGCTTTTTTCCTAAACACTTTCCTTTATAATGGATTCTTTTTTGTCTATTTGAATGTACATATTTGGTATTTTCTTTGGTCTCCTTTTTGTTTTTTTTTAAGGATCTTTATAAATCAATTATTAAACTGATTATCCATCTATTGTTACACTTTCTCATAATCTCCCCATTATTGTCAGTTACTCGTCTATCTTATGAAAATGGTTTTCATCAAGCCATCTAGACAAGATTTCATTCTTCTCTCCCATCTTATATTTATCCATCCACTAATCCTAAAGGGGAAAAATTAATTGTTGGAATTATTTCTGTTTGTTCCAGAAAGCACTACGGACGGGTACCAGCACCCGGCTGGATGAGCGCATCTTTGCCATGTGTGAGTTTAAGACGCAGCCGCTGCCTCAGCTGATGCGGATGGTTCATCCCGACCTTTACGGGCTGGACAACATGTCTGACCAGGTGGGATTTATTCCCTTATCAAACCAAAACATATTTATCTGCTGGCTTATTAAAACCAGAAGATGCAGCGATCCATGTTTTTTCACATCCTATCCAATCCCGATGCCTGTATTTGGATAACTGGCAATTGCTATACTGTGCTGATACTGCTTAGATTTTTATCATTATTCTTTATTTTTTCTTTTGTTTTGAGTTTTTCTTTTTCTTTTAAGGGGATATAATTAGGGCTGGGTATTTTGGCCAAAGTCCTGAATCGATTTGATTTTGTTTCATAAAGTTCTAAATCGATTTGATCTGTTTTTACAATAATGAAAGTGGTTCAACTGTGTTTCAAAATACTCATGTAATTATTTTTTTTTTCCTGTCATATTAAACACAAAGTGCAAACTTGTAAATCAGACAGTTGAGATGTAAACAAAACTGTCTCAAAAGAGCAAACTTGTTTGTGAAAAAGTGAAGCCTCACACGCGCAAGCAGAAGCGACACAGCGGGGACACAGCAGAAATGCATGAGCTGCATTATCTTAACTGAACAAACCATATTTGCTGCGTTGTCTGTAAGAACTACAGGGTGTTTGCTGGTCAGCCCCCGTTTGTTAATGTCTTCAGTCAACCGATTGGGTATATTTGCTGCTGTTTTAAATCCAAAATGGTTCTAGACATCAGACTTCAGTTGGTACAGCTTGCTGAGCGGTGTGTTGCTTGGGTCGGCAGTTGCACACGCCTGCTCATTTGAATGTGAACTTCACACGTATCACTATAAAAGTAATCATCTCATTCCCTACACATCAATTTTGCAAAAATGTAAAGGAATCTATCCGAAATTGATTTAATCGCTTTTTTTAACCTAGCCCTAGTTATAATAAACTCATTTCTACAATCAAGGATCATATGTATGAATGTAAACATGATGCAATATCAAATAATTGTGTTAAAATGCCCATCCTAAAAACAAATTTGCATCTCTAAGATTAGAAATTTACCATTTTTATTTCTTTACTTCCACTTAGCTGTTGACTGAGGCAGTGTGAAAAAGTTACAGATGATTGATGCTGATCCATTTAAAAAAAAAAAAGGGACTTTTCACATTGTGTCACTATCACATGATGTTTCATAATGGAAATAGATTGAACAGATTTGCCCTTATAGATTAGGCCTAATGTCGCTTATAATGAATCTAGAATTTTCTTTGCAATCGGGACCAATAACATTTTCAAGTGGGAATGCTTATGCATTCCCACTTATTGTTGTTCACTTTAAATTTTTCTGACTCTAACTAGTCCCGCAGTTTTCAACCGATTTCAACAATTTTGGTATCAAAACGTTCAGCTCCTTCAGGAGAATTCTGCTATGTCTTTTGGTAAAGATATTTTTGGTAGTTTTCGCGTTATTCAGCTTTTTCTGCGTTTTTTTTTGTCCCATTGAAATGCATGTAGAATTCTTAGATTTCAGCAAAATTCAGATAAACCTTCATCATCTTTGACCTTTAACTACTTCAGCATACTTTCAGCTAGAAACACCATTGAACTTTTAAAATGTTTCTGTATCTTTCTGCTATTACTGTTTAACTCGGCTTTCTGCTAACTTTTACAGTTTTGCTTCAGTGAAGCTTCAAACTTTAAGAGACATTTTTAAGATTTTCAGATTTATAATGGAAGTCTATGGACGGAATTCTTCAACTGCTAGAGTGCGTGCTCTAGCTTTTGAGCTGTTCTGGTTTTTCCGAACAAATTCTTCTCAGTCCCTCATTTTTAACTCAATTGAAATAAATTATACATCAAAACGTAGGGATTTTTGTCAGGATTCAGGAAATATAACCCTCATTTGTGTGGCATTTACGGTTTTCCGACAGTTTGGCCCAGACCATGAAGAAGTCCACACTTCCCCAATAGAAATCCAATAAGAGATTTTCCAAAAATCACAGACAAAATCCAAAACGATACATATTTTCGTATCGCTCCCATTTATTAACTATTTGATGTACTAACATGAATCTTGGTATACAACATCTTCAGAACCTTCTAGCACTCACATTGAAGGAATTTCTTCAATATCATTTATGGTTTAGCTTTTTGGCTGACTTGTTCGGGCATAGGAAAACGCTGATTCTGAGAAAAATCCTCAAACTCAGAAAATGCAAATTTTTAAATCGTCACCGTGGCCAAATAGTTTTTAGTAGAAACATGAAAGTTGGCACAGTCGAAGCCGAAGGATGGCTGACGCCAACGGTGAAAGAATTTTTTGAATACCTTTTACGGTTTTAGCTCACCACTCGTTTGTTCGCAGGGAAAGTTTTGCTTTTGAGCGTTCTGCTCTACCATGTTGCTGCATGTTATTTAATGAGACCAGCAGGGTTTATAAACCTTTATATTTCTCCTTCCCATTAAGGCTGAGAATGAGCTACATCCATGAAAGTTACCCCAATTGGAGACAAAGGATAGCTGTCACTTAGATTGAAAGAATCTTTTAGATACCATTTACGGTTTGTCTTCAGCAGTCTTTTGTTCAGAGCTGATATTCCCATTCAAAAAAGCCTGAGAGGAAAGGAACGAAAGTGAAGCGCGTTTCTCTCTCTCACTGACAGGCTCATGTTAAGCGTTGTCAAGGTAACCGTGCTTCAAAGAGATTTTACCTCCACCACTTTAAACAGAACATTTTAATCTAATGGAGGGA